GTATAGGACGTTCGTGTGGAGATGTCTTACTACAACGCGACGAGGCTGGGCTGTACCCGAGTGGGACAGGATGGATACCACTGCCGGAAACATTACGAGAATAGAACTGTGTCCGCCATTGCGTAGTACTTGACTCGACTACAGTGCCCTGAACCTTTTCATCATTGAAAGCCCTTCTCTGATGCCTTGTCCCCCTTAGCTTCACCAGTCTGGTCTGGATCAGGCGCGCGTGACGATAGCCTGTGTACTAGGGTCCCACAGTTTACCCACAACCAAGTTCCGAAGGCCCGAGCCTTTTTATTCTCGGGAATATGGCTCCAAGGGGCGGACCTCACACCCCAGACGCCCTCACAGGCCACCTGAAGGTAGCAGAATATGCCGGCAGACTTTCGCATAGCAAAGATGATTCTCCACGCTTTCGGAATTCCCCCCACGACTTTGTCGTACGTAGTGTCAGTCGAATGGATCTGGTGGCCTAGGCGGACAATCATCGGCGCGCTTTGGCCATCAGTAGATAACATAAAGTGGGCAAACGCAGCGACGAAGCAGAGCAAGAATAGCTTCCACACGGAAAGCACGCGCGATCGCAGCTTTGAGTCGGCTACATATCGTTGCTGCGTCTGGAACACGGCATCGCTTTGTCTCTCCCTGTACTCGTCAGCATGAACGTGCGTGTGCCTCGGCGGGTGTGTATTACACATCGTCATTCCTTGCACTCTTGAGAGACGACAAATACGACTCACTCTCAAGGCCCTGTAAGAGTTTTGCGCCGCACATGAACACCGAGAAAGCGGCCGCTATGCATGTCGAAAGCCAGGCGGCCACACCTTGACGAGTCAATGCCACGTAGATGGTAATGACGTTTGAGGTGACTTTTAGGAGGAGGGCTTTTAAAGTTGAGTTTAAGGCGTCTGCTTTCCGCATATGTTTGCGCTCGTGAGATCCTGCATTGTGCAAGACCTCAAAGGCTGCGTGGTCAAGCACAGGACCCAGAGGTAACCAGAGAAGGTCCTGTACAAAGTCCGGTACCACGAAGAGAAGGAACTGAGCCGTGACAGGGGGTACCGACAGGTTCTCAAGGATTGTCGGAGAAATAAGTGGTATAAAATTGCAAAGGAAGCAGGCAGCCAGCAGCAGACCGTAAGGCAGCAGGTACCAACAGCTTTTGCGCGCAAGCCGTTGGCGACCCAGCAATGGCATTTGTTCATCGACTAACGGCATCGTGGTACTCATCCTTCATTGTTGAAGAGGCGGTGAAAGCCCTGGACAAAGATCTGGGCGCCCTTTTAACCTATCCCGGGATTCCTGGGCATCAATGAGACCGATGCAGTGCGTTCGCCTGAGACACGGTGCACGCCCGTCATGCGTAACTCTCAAGCCAGGTGCATCACTAATGCGAGTCATATCGTCACTTGCATAGCGGCGTGTGATAGTTTGCTGCGTTGGCGCCCGGTCTGGCGTGCTTGCTGATCGGTCCTCATGAAGCAAGGCACGCGGGACGCAGTGTGGCAACTGCAGAGGATCTGGGCTTTGTCCGAATCATCATTGAGCGTCGTGCCTTTCAATGCATCAGGGCATTGTCGGCTAGCCTTTGCCGGCCTGAGGTGAGACGCCACGTAACCGCATGAAAACACAGGGGAATGGAGCGATTGAACACCCGTCGAGCCAAGTTAAGCCAAGCTAAGCCATCTGCGCGTATTTCGTACTATGCGAAGACTGACAAGCAGTTTATACTGACACAATGAAATTTCTTTTTTTTTCTCCGCATCATCGTAGACAGGCTCCCGGCGTGAGTAGCCCGTCCGGCCAAAGGCACCCTTCGTCCGTTTCCGTCATCGTCTCGAGGGCGACCCCGAAACGCTGCCTCAGGCCCTCATAATCTGGCCGTTCGTCGAACCGGAGTGCAAAAGCATGTTGTGCGAAGACCAAAAGTGCCCCTGCCAACTGTTCGTCTATATCGCGGACCAGCCCCTCTGCTTGTACCCGCTCCTTTGCGGCACAAGTCAACCGTTCGCGCTCGCTGCCTTGTATGCCCTGCCACGGCAATCCCCCCTTGGCAAGATATATGAACATGTAAAGCAGGGACTGCATGTCACTTCGACGCGACTGTGCGTTCCCTCTGTGTGCGTCGATACTCATGTACCGCCGTGTGCCGACGATACCATGGGCAGTCGAGTGTTGGATGTGCGATCCCGTCTTTGGGTCTCGATAAAGCGTTGCGGAAGCAAGATCTATGAGATAAAACCTGGATACGATCGCGTTGTTCCAGCCGTCGCTGAGAATATTCTCTGGTTTGAGATCCTGGTGAGTGTAGCCGTGGTCATGTAGCAGCTGTATCAAATGGAGCTGTGGAACTATTAGCCAAATCATGAGAGATAGCTGTGGGTCTTACCAAGTGAATGAACAAAACCACGAGCGTTCTTGCGGAAAAGACCCGTCCGCCTTTCTCGAAAAGTACATGGAGCGACGGCCCCAGACAGTCGACAACCAAGGCGCTGTGCAGGAAGATCTTTTTCTCGAAGGCGTGAACGTTTGGTGTCGCCCCTTTGCCACACGTCAGCACTGCGAGCCGTACGCTGGGCGGCGGCACATACAACATATGGCCAGGGACTTGTATGCACGGTACTCATCGTGCAACGGAACTTCGCTTCTCCGCTGCTATGGCAGCAAAGGTTGGTATCCACTGTCAGTTTCAAGAGCGACTAGATGACTCACAAACTTGATGGCTACCACTTTGTCGTCGGGTATGGACTTGCATTGGTAGACCACGCCAAATGTCCCTACACCGAGCATTTTACCAACGGTATAGTTGACGTCTCCCACTTGAAGTCTGTTCGCCAGCCTCATGGTGCCCGCGTCGTGCAGGTCGTTCATCTCCACCAGCTTCTGCACCACTTGTTCCGAGTTAGCTTCATCCATTTTTCCTTCCCATCCACGCGCCCGCACACCGATACAAGCCTTGTCCCAGGCGAGTTGCAGGGCCGCAATCTCTTCGCGGCATGTGCCCGTTCGCATGGAGGCCTCAAGTGCGTGTCCACAGAGCTCTGAGACGACAGCAAAGGGACCCACCGGCTGCCTGAGTCCCTTCAAATCCGCATTTGGGCCGCTTGAGAGATTTCTCTGTAGGTTGCCGAACGTCACCAGCCTGTCTCGCGTGGTGCTCCAAAAAGCCAAAGGCAGCAGATTCGATTCCGCTCTATCATCACAACAACTGTCAACTTCGATTTTCAAGTCTGACAGGGACGTCGCAGAACCGGCGACGGGCATCGCAGTCGTTTCTTGGTGCCGAAGAATTGACCTCTCAGGCTGACGCAACAGTTGATCAACTCTGCGGGCATATACATTCAGCTCACTCAATACCGTCCACGCCCAAACATCACCATGGACGTTCTTCGCCTTCGCATGGATTAGCCCTAGCGCTCTTTGTGCTGACGGTGATTGATCGAGCAGTCGAGAGCTCAAGGAACTCACTTGGTTCTCTGCAGTGACGCCAAGGCTCTCCTTGGCATGTCCTTCTTTGTTCTGTCGTCGTTCAAGCCCGTCGCCAAGGCAATCCACGACCGATGTCCAGGCGGCCATAGCCTCATTTGGCACCCAGGCGGTGGTCATGTTGTGGTCACCCGTGCTGCTGTGGCATGGAAGAGAAGGCAGCCGGTCGCTTTAGGTGGTGGGGGACGGTTTTAAACTCGACAATCTTGCTGTATCCAGTAAGGCTGCAGACCCTGGTAAATCCCAGGGTAATGATTGTACAATGCTAGGGTGCATTACCAAGGAAATTGACTCGCCTCAAGTGCGGCCGCGCTGCTCTGCCATGTCGTGGCCAAGCGCCTGGGGATTCTGACACAAGCTCCTTCAACCTTGTCCTCTATGTCATGACAGCCCTTCTTTCAATTTCGTAACTGCCATGAACGGCAGGTCACCTGGCACTAACGGCAGCCTCTCTTTCATGAAGGTGGCAGCTTTGTCAACGAAAAACGCTAGGTCCCGCGCATTGGCAAACTTCTCCCCACAACTCTGATGGCACGCGTAGAGGCGAATGAACCAACACTCGCTGGATGGATAAGTCTTTGCAAAAAAAAAGGGGGGCAACGGACCAGTACTTACATATGAAAATACGCTGCACGGTGTATAACCGACCGACCCTGAATATGCCTGATAACGAAGCCCAACCAGCAGCCAATCGTCTCCAACTGAGTCCTGGAAGTCTCAACGACTTCTTTCGGCTGGGTTTCGGGGTCTGACAATATGGCCTGAGCTTCGGGTCTGAAAGGCAGAAAGAGCACAGCTGCAGCCACATACGTGTCGGTTTGTGCTTCTTCGTCTTGGCTTGCACCGGCATCGAGCAGTTTCCTTTCCACTTCACTTGCTCCGTCCCAAGCTTGGCGTCGTATACCTGCATCGGCACGAAACCCTCGGCTAAACCACGAATACCAAAACAGATAGGCGGTTTTAATGTAGGACGGTACTCCCGAGCAATCCAAAACCTCATAGAGGATCGCTGACGAGTAACCATAAATGATCATCGGTCCCTTCGCCGCCCAGTTATCCACGACCACCGTTGGGCCGCAATATAGCTCTCTGCTCGCTTTAGCCAAGCCCTTGGATTGTGAGACGTACACCTACAACAATATCTTGACCAAACTCCTTTTCAACCTTTGATGCTCTGATGACTGCGGTGTTTCGAGTGTGCGGAGCATCGCACCTGCTTTATCGCAAGAGAGCTTCGACTCGGGGGGATCACCGAGAAACAGGAAATACACCGATCTCAGTAACAAGCAGCGGACCCTTGACCAAGGGCTCGCCTCGGGCATGTGGAACGCTGTTTGCTGCTCGGCGAGTCCAGGAAGAATTCCCGTCTCGTTGCCGTCTGGATGCGCCACGTCAATGTATGATAGTAACTTGCCAATGCCAGCAATTGACATAAGCTCTGCGCTCTCCGAGGCTGCCAGCTTCATAGACTGCAGTGCCCAGAGCTCCACGATCGGATACTTAGGCAACACGAAGCGGATGAACATATCGATCAGATCATCGCGGTCAGTTGCTGTTTCCGGGCTAGGGTCCTGTGCCGCGGGTTGAGGCGCTTGTTCTCCGCTTTCAGGGGCTCGGCCGGAGGCCCCTTTTGCTTCCGGGCCAAGAGCAAGTGACGCGTGTCTTGTGTCTTGACCTTCATCGTTCACTGTTTGAGTTCCCCGATCACTATACGCGACCTGGGACCCCAGTGATGAGCTGATGAGTTTCTGTATGAGCTTTCTATAATCGTCGGAGTCTTTTGGTGGATGTGTAATCGGGCTTGTTGAGCGATTTGCTCTCCTCTGTCCGACCGGTGGTGAGCTCCGGATGCCGCGGGTCGAGCATCCGCCGTGCGAGATGGGCTGTCCTTCAGTCACTAGTGCCTGAGGCCCTGGACAGGAACTGCCCAAGTGCGCCAGGTCACAAGGGATGCCGCGTCTTATGCATCGCTTGCATGGGGGACCCCCTGCGCATTTTTGCTTGCACTGGCGGCAAGCCCCGCTGGAATTCGTTAGCAAGGAGCTTAAGCCAATTGTGCGCGAGGCTCACCAGGACCTGGTACGACGTGCATCCCGAGCAGCTCGCGGCAATCTCTGTGCGCCGCAGCCGATGCCCCCGCCCCTTCTGCGGCTGGATCTACATGCTGTTAGTTGAGACACCAAACGCCATGCCACCAACCACCGCGCCGGTAAGATTCTGGCAGTAACAATGATTCGGAATACTATACCTTGGCAGCATGGCAATGTGCTGCGGTAGCCCGTGTGCTTGTCTCTGGTCCGAGTCTGCCATCGTCATTCAGCGAAAACTTACTGGCGCCCTCCCTCGTTGAACACTCGCCCGACCGGCTTATTATATCTTGGGCTCTGCCGACACTGTGTGGGACATGACTCAGTATGATGATCGTTCTGGCAGGATAACAGTGACGACGGCCGCAGGAGGTTGGGGCTTGGGCTGTGTCCTTTTACATAGCGTGGGATGGAGCGCGTAATGACATGAAGGTCCATTCCAGGCGTTGTGCGCAGTACCTTACTACGGGAGCCAGTCAGGAGTCAAGACGATGCTACGCTGGTGCCTGGCGTTTCTTTAAGCCACCAACCGCCAAAGTTGGCTCAGTCTGCCTCACACTCGATCCCTGCAATGCGATGTACCCGGAGGAGACTTCTGATGCACTCTTGATTGTCTGCGAATGACCGGAAGGTTAGGGGCGGAGAACACCCCGGGGCTTGTACCCTTTTACATCTCGTCAGCTCAACTAGCTCGGTCGCGCTCCACGGTGGCCAACAGGAACGTGCCGCCCCTGTTCATAGAAGCGCAAACATGCTGCAATCAAACTCAACCGTATCCTCAGCGCAGTTCAGGGCGGAATGCATCACACACGTACTTCAAGTTACAACAACGAATAGAGACGCTTAAGCGTTGGGCGTACCAATGATCCATCCCAGTCTTGTCTACTCTAAATCCTTGCGGGCCAACGATGATGTGCGACAGCTTGAAGAAATTTGTAGTGGAAACACCACGTCCCCGCTTTCTACCACGGCACCCCCGAGAACGCACCTCGGAACTCCATCGCATTCGGGTGCAAGGTTGTCGATGTAAGTATGCGGAGCTGTTCAAGCTGCACTTGGCCGTCGGTTGAAGGCGGCCTAGAGCGAAGAAATTCCTCTGCGGAGCGGACCAAGACTTCGGTTGGCCACATGATCTGCTGCCCCGTGCGCTGGAGTCTATACCCCAGTCGGACGACACCATGCAGGAGGCGGCATTCTCTATGAAAGGTTAGATATCACTTCGTGCCAGGAGTGAGTTATACTGACTGCTGAATATGCCACACGCGATCTTCGAGCCGGAGGCTTTGAAGATATTCTATTGTTTGCAGCAGCGCCCTGCCCGCAGTTTCCAACAACCCTTGGAACCCATCGAGGCCAGGTTTAGCAGCGATTGTTAGGAGCGGGAGCCAAAGGACTGCCGCAGCCAGGTAGGGTTCTGCCTTTTCTTCCTCGCGCAGAAAAGCCGCATGATCCCATAGCTTGCATTGTACTTTCCAAGCCTCTCTCCACTCTTGGACCTGCGACGCGATGGAGATGAAGCTCCGGCCGATGCGAGATGGAGAATTCCAGAACTGATAGGCGATGGCCAAGTACGACGTAGTTTGTGGCTCTCTGTTGCCCACAGTTGTGCCATACCGCGGGTGGACTGGAACGATCTCCGTGAGATCCATGGATGTAAAGTAGGGTATACTCCATGAATCGCATTCGAGCAGCCTGGCGGTTTTAGCTCGACCTTTAATCATTGAATCTGATTACCCACATGTACAGCATTGCATAACTTTTTACCAGTCTTTGGCGCTCCTCCACGTCCCAGTCGAATGACCGCGACAAAGCCAGGCCTGTACGGCACAGTCCGTCATCGATTCCGTAAGTCCACCCAGTAGGAGGAAGTATACAGACCGTAATAAGTAGCAACGTGCCTTGGACAAATGATCGTTAGGGTCCAAATTGGACTTGACCGTCTCCTGTTCGTAAAGACCAGGAATGCTCTGTATCGGCCACAGCGCTGCGCCATTCGACTGGTGCAGACGTAGATGCCACAGCAGTTTGCCGATACCGTAAATGCTTGTAAGCTCCAGGCTAATGCCTTTGCCGGCCGCGTGGGCCGCCATCATAGCCTGTAGCTTTTCATGTGATATGACTTGACTCTTGGGGAGAACAAACTGGATGTACATCCCAGCCAGGGTGGCGTAATTGTACCGGCCCTCTCCTGTGGTCCAAGAACCAAAACCACCGTTATCAAATGGGAAGTAAGAATCCCCCATAGGACCTGAATTGGTACCAGGTAGTGTGCTCTCCGTCCCTGCATTGCTGCTGTCGAAGGCCCGAGACATTTGGTCTTGCCGTCCACCATCGGACTTGATGGCCGATAGTGACGGGTATCGTTCGACCTCCAGAGAAGTTGTCGAATGCTGCACGACCCTAACAGGGAGGTTTGCATCGTCGGCGGGGGCGGTCGGGGTGACAAGGGCTGGGCTCGGCAGACCGACCGCCACGATGATCTCATCTAGCGCCGGACTGGAGTCGTTCGCGTTCTTGATGTCACAGATGGTGTCTTCTTTCCTGCAGCCGTCGCAAGGGTCACCACCCAGGCATTTTGTTCCAAGAGTCTGGCATCGAATGCTGGATAAAGTCAGTCCATAGCCTACGCAGTGCGATCCTGACTCACCAAGTCCAAGCACGACCCAGATCGTTTGATGTTTCTCTGCTGCGTCTTGCAGTCTGCAAAGGTTCTGGGGCGCTCTGTGTTCCCTTGAGGCCGTCGCAATCGGAACCTTGCGTGTTGTGTGACCTGTCAACTTCGATGGCGAATTCCCCAAGATGGACACTTAAATCCGGCTAGCTTACAGGAACGAACGCCTCTGCTGCAATTCTCGCATGGATAGCCGCCCGAGCATTTTAACTTCCGTTTGACGCAGAGGGCACTGAGCGTTGTTACTTCGAAATTCAGCCAGTGAGCGCCGCACTCACCATGCCTTCCGCTGGGGCTTTTTTCGGTAAACTCGGCGTATCTGGCGGTTCCGGATGTTCTTCATCGTCGACGGTGCGAGATGCGTTCGTGACAAGTGCCCAAGTCAATCTTTTCTGTCTGGCATCTATGATTGACGACGGACAGACTTGTAACGAACAGTGAGGTCGGTAGCTCTGCAGGGCACAATGTTCTGGCAAGCCAGAGCCATATAGGCACATGGCTTAAGTATTGTGGCCACGAACGGTTCTCCATCGAAAGAAAATAATTTCCCGCATAATTTCCCAAATGACTCGTCAACTACTTTGAACTGCGGCAGCAAATCTCGCGTCAATGCCTAGATCAGGCAGGGCGTAATATTCGATGCTCTAAGGGCCCAGCCTACGCTATGGTAACCAACAAGCGACAGGCATACGTAAGCAAACGCTCGGGCTTGAGTTTGCTTCCATCCTTCCGCCTTATCGCTGCACCTCTCCCTCTCTGGTCTGAGACTGTTGTGACCGAGCAGTCTGTGGTACAAGACTGTCAAGAGAAGTTCCGGCCTCAACTGTTGCCCGTGACTTGCGAACTGGGAACATTTTCAGTACCCTTCGAGCCATAATATAAGCCATTAGGCATAACCATAACACACTCTGTAACCCAAACTGAAATCCGGGCCAGCCATGGATACTACCGATAAGCAAGGCAAGCGAGCATGTGCAGACTAGACCGGCTAGGATGATCAACGGGAGTAGAACCTTATCCCGTCGGGGGCCGGTCATGCTTTCTTGAGGCTTACGCCACAAGTACATCGAAAGGCAGAGAAAGACAGCGTGTGACAGCAGCGGTGCTGCCCACAGTGCCTCCGTCCCATCTTTAACCAGCCACCAACACGCGAATGCCACAAAAAGAAGCAATGCAAGAGTCCAGATGCAGTAAAGACCTTTTGCTACCCGTGGATGATGTGATATCATCGGAGGCGCAAACGAGGAGAACTGAATCATTAGGCCTGGCACATGGCACTCAGGGCAAGATCGTACCTCGACAATGGCCATAGCCATTGCAACTCCTCCTTTGCATCCGGCTAAGGTGGCAAATTTTGCGTTGTGGGTTAGGCCAAAAAACAAAACAATCAGAACGGCGGCGCCAAGTAGAAGAGAGGCCACTCCTATCCAAGCGAGACGCCACTGGCATGGGCTGTGCTCGAGTTTGAAGACAAAACAATAGGCCAGCAAAAAGCAGATGACGACTGGCGCAGTGACGCTTGCTTCAATGATTTGTGGCTGTGTTATGACTCGCTGCATCGTAACAGGCGGTGAAGGTCGTGAGCTCAGATACAGGTTGGGGCGTAGAATCATGCATCCTGCGCGTTGATGACAGGGCCGCATTGCATCCTAAATATGTACCCGAGCTTGGCAGCCTTGAGGGCCCGAGGAAGGGCGCGGACGGCAAATCTCAGCCCCGGGTTTTGCTACAGTGCTTCTAAGCGAGCAGTGGCATTGCCAGCAACGACTTACCCCCCGTCTAGATCAGACCGAAAAGTGCACTACTTCACCGCATCTGGTCATAGTAACAACCAGGTTACACGCTATCGGCCGTTGCATGTGGCAGGAGAACGAGCCGTCGCCTCATCAGATTCGAAAAGTTGACGGCTGGGAGGAGGGGGCGAGTGGGTTTGGCCCGAACACCAGCACCGAACAGCAGTCGATGGACCATGGGTGCGGCCTCCGACAAAGGACAAGAACTGGCTAACAACCTATGTAAAGAACAGGGTTCGTCCAGGGGTAAATGAATTGCAATTGGTTCTTGAATCTATTGAGCGCACCCGGCGACTGCAACGCCCATGTTTTCATGTCCCTCCATGCTCCACACAGGTCCAACTGGCTTCCATGGGGTCCCTTACCCATTCTCTGGCAGGGTGGAAGCGGTCATCTCTCTTCATGATCAATGTCCCTGCCGAGCCATTCAAGGTAGCAATTTCGAGGCGCAAATCTGCTAAGGTGAGCGGGGGTCCATCGTCAACAACTTGCAAGTCGTACCTTTTCCATTTACGCACTCGCGTGTCCTATCGATGAATAAGGCCAAGCTTGGAGTAGCCGTGCCGTTTACGTGCGTGATAAAATAGCCAGCCTGTAGGCCGCACTGTTCTGCCGGAGACGCAGCAAGACAGTCCGAAACGTACACGTTGCTGTAAAGACACGGGATCTGCAGACGAACCGCTATGTGGGGTCGCTGAAGGACTGCACCGCAAAAGAGGAAGACAT